GCTGTCGTTAATTTTGATCCTGACGCTGTCGCTATTGCCGGCGGCGTGCTCGTTGCCAGCCGACATAGTACAGAAATTCCACGATCCGGAAGTGGAACGTATGAACCATCTGGTGGTGGACAAGAATACAGGCCGAGTATACGTAGGCGCGGTTAATCGTCTCTACCAATTGTCGCCGGATCTATTACTCGTCGTGAAGGAGGTCACCGGGCCGAAAGGTGATTCCACCGCATGCTCGATGTTAGACTGTCCCCGTGAGGCGCAGAAACGACCAGTTGATAACGTGAACAAGGCCCTGGTGATTGATTATACCACCACGCGTCTCATCTCCTGTGGCAGTCTGTTTCAGGGTATGTGCACGGTGCGTAATCTGCACAATATCTCAGATGTGGTGCAGGAGGTGAAAGAAGCTGTAGTGGCGAACAATGCCACCGCCTCAACGGTCGCGTTTATCGCGCCTGGTCCGCCAAATCCACCGGTCTCCCAAGTTATGTACGTCGGCGTGACCTTCACCGGCAATTCACCGTATCGCTCGGAAGTGCCAGCGGTGAGTTCGCGTTCCCTCGACAAGGACAAGATGCTTAACATCGCCGAAGCGGCTGTTACAACTGGTACGCGAATGTACGTTAATTCTCTGTCGCGTGAGCGTTACCCCATCAACTACATCTACGGCTTTAGCAGCGGCGGGTTTAGTTATTTTCTCACCACGCAAATGAAAAATACGGAGACGCCGATTTACTTGTCGAAACTGGTTCGCGTGTGTCAAGACGACGAGCACTATTATTCGTACACGGAAATACCGATTAACTGCACCAGCGACGAGCGTATCTACAACCTGGTGCAAGCCGCTTACGTCGGTAAGGCTGGCTCGGTACTCGCCGGCGACCTGGGCATCACTGCTCAGGACGACGTGCTGTTTGCCGTGTTCGCCGAGAGCGACGGGCCCAACAGCGACGTGCCGCGACCGCACTCGGCTCTGTGTGTCTACTCGCTCAAGGCAATCCGCCGCAAGTTCATGAGCAACATACAGCGATGCTTCAGCGGCGAGGGACAGCGGGGCTTGGAGTTCATCTCGCCAAGTCACAAATGCATATCAACGGTGAGTCATTTTAAACAGCTTAATTTAACGCCGCTGCCGCTTCTCCAACGTGTATGTAATCTCGGCGATGTCACTCGGCGATATTCTCGCTTGTTATATCCGAAGGAAGATATAAAATACTTTTAATATCGTTGTAAAAAAGCGCGGGATTTAGTAGACGCGTATCGAAATATCTTTCTCTATGATAATATTTCAAGATTTAAATAATTTTTTTTAAGATTTTCATCAAGATTTTGGACATACATACGTACATAAAGATTGTTCATAAAGATTCTGTCGCGAATTCGGAGCAAATTTTCATTTTTGCCGCTAATCTATTAAGGAATTCACGCAATTTTTTCAATGAAAAATCTTAGATATAGCAGAACGAAACAAATTGATTTATCTCATGTCAAAAGGAGTTAACAGTTTTATATATATAAATATAAGCGTGTCATTATTCGCTGCTTCGTTGAAATCTCTCGTTACCTCGTTTATTCCTTCGTTTATCCGATGCTCGCGGTGGATTGATAGCTCGTGTAAATAAATTGATATCTCGCAGTATGGCTACTGCTGACCAACAATAAACTTGCGGAAGGTACCGTCCTGTGTGTACGGTACTCGATAGCTCGGCACCGCGAGGGTATCAGTGCCATCGCTGGCCGGAATTATTATAACCACACGGCGTGGCGCACTCGTGGTGCATTCGTGGTTGTCGAGTGGCTGAATGGCCGTCAGATGGGAAGACCACCTCCCGTTTGCAAGAAGGACGCGATTCGTCCTCCTTGATTATTATGGCACGAATCAATCGGCCGCGTCTCGCAGAGGGAAGCTCGGTCTTCCTTCCCTCTTGTTCGCATTTACGTAACAGGTGGCATCGAAAAGCTTAAAGAAGGCAAAACGCAGGAGGACGCTGGCCTCCGTACAAAGCGCCATATGCTCCTTTCACACGGACCCGCGTCATTTGTGCACGCGAGCGCGAGAACAATAATCTTTCTATACGCAGCGTTCGCTCGCGTATAGCGGTCGCTTCTCGCATTTTTGTTTTGCGGGAAAACCGCGAGATGCTTATTACGCGAAAATGAATTTTGAAGACACAAACAAATGTTAACATTTGTTGATTTTCATATCAGGATCCGTCTCTGAATATTCTATCGTATTTGCACATCTGCCAAATTGTACGTATAATATTGCATTTAAACCGTTATTTGCATTAAAGCGGAAACATGCATCAGGATATTATTTTATTTACTTAATCGCGGAATTAGCATTATGTTGCAATTAAAATGTATATTGTAATTTGCGATGATAAAGTGGATAACATCCGTATATTTAACCGTGATTATTTGTGAAAATATCGGAACGTGAGTTGAACGCTCGTCAGGAATGTCACGAATCGATTATTAATTCACGAAGTCGGGTTTATTATTTTCCGGGAAAGCGACTGAATTTTTATTCGTCTTTACGGCTATCCGATCCCCATCTGCCGCAATTAAAGTCTCTAATGAGACTGCGAATGTCTGGCGAAGGCTTTCTCCGGATCTGCACATATCGTTGACCTGTGCGGCGGATTCCATAATTTATTAGCGTACCGGGAGCTGCTCGCTTTATTGCCGAGCGATTTTATTGCGCGCGACGGCAATCACATTCCATGACTTTTTCCTATGCGCCACCGACAGAGACGCGACGAAAATGTGCGCGTTCGCCACGTCATTCCTGCTCGCAACCATCGAGGTTATCTCCTCGCGATCGCTCGCTGCCGATCGTTCGTCGGCGGTTAACCGAAACTTATACAGAACTCCGATGAACATGGTTTTGCTGACCGCTTTTCCTGGCATACCACGTATATATATATATATTGGGACGTCTATCCTCCTCATAGATAAATGTGAATTCCTTGATTTTGAAGATCGGATATCCCTATTGAAAATTTTATCGGACAATGCTGCTAAAATATGCATGAAACTTTACTTTATAACTTTATTCCTGAAAATTTCTAAATTTTTTTATAATATAGAGATTGGGATCTCGACCAATTTTTATCGAGGGCAAATTGATTAAGAATTCTACATAAAAGGGAAACGTCAATCGCTCTTTGCGTTCTTCCGGTCCGGAAAGTCTGGCGAATGGATTCCGCATGGATACACGCGACTTTGGACAAATTTCGCGATTCATGCTCGTCTCAATAAGCGATCATGAGGAACGTTTCTCCCTATATATATAGCCGTATTGCGAAGTCATCTCTAGAAAGAGGGTTGATATTATATTAGATCGACACGTTTATTATTTGGCTTTGTTGAATTAATTTTATCGTGATAATAGAGAAAGATTGAAATATTTTATGTATATGATATATTAATTTTTATATCTTGTTTTGATATTTTAGTTTAAACTAGATTATAAAAGAGTTAATTTTATATATCGACATATAAGAGTGAAATATTTCGAATATATTTTATATTTGTTATTTGTCATTACTTTTAATTCATATTTTTAACTTTGGACTCTGACTTGCTATTTAATTTAAGCGGATGCAAATTGGATTCTGATTTTTTTTTAATTTATGCAAAAGTTTGCGTATAAAACGAACTTTGAGATTGCCACACATTTGTAATAAATGTACGATATAAATTTTTTAGACTTTAAAAATAGATAACTGTGACTTATTATATAATATTTATCTTGCGAATGTCACTTTTTTTTTCTTTTTATATTTTACATAGTTTTATGCGTTTGCGTTTTATTTAATCGTTTCTTGGCAATTTTTATTAGCAAATGAAACTAAAAATTCTTTGATGAGTAGTAAAAAATATAGATATTATTCTCTTATTTGAAATATTTGTCCGAGTTTTTGCGAATTAATTTCATTCATTTTGTGAGAAAAAGCAATATTAGTATTGAATAATTAGCGTCACTTGTAAATATCTGATACAGTTTATCAGAAAGTCTCGCGATAATTTTTGGACATGTGCTGATTATGTAAATTTCGATATAATATATTTAAACTAAAAGACATAATAAATTTTATGTGTAAAATAATAATTTTTAACATTAAACAAAGTATATTAAAGAGAATTTTAAAAGAAATTGATAACTTAGGTTAAATTGTAATGAGGAGAGAATATAAAAAATATTTAATGCATTTATTTGAAAAATGTCATAATATGTATATATTTGATTCAATACATTTATCTCACTTCTTTGACTTATTTTAACAAATTCAGGACAATTATTTACAAAAGAAACCATTTATCTTTTATATCAACGCCACCATTTATCTTCGATATCGGCTAAACGATGTAAGATTTCTCTCTTTCCTCTCTTTCTCGCTCAGAGGAAAAACGCCAAAGATTTGTGAACGGTGGTTATAACGAAGCCAAGTTTTGTCGCGCGGGGGTGCACCGGCATGGTTTTTTTCAAAACTTTACCGGAACGGTAGGTACTTAGAGAACCGTTTTCAGTACCCGCTTAAAGATGCGGAACACTTCGCAAAGTCTAGCGAAATGATATTCACGACGCAGCGCGAGATTTATTCAAATTTTCTGCGTTTCGTCTCGCTTTCTCTCTCTCTCTCTCTCTCTCTCTCGCCTCCTCCGTA